CTTCCAGACGTGTGCATTCTAGACGAATGATGAGCTTCGCTGAAGCTAGGTGATCTACTAACTGACGTATTAGCCATTGTTTCATCATGACTTGTTTCTCGTATATTAATTGTTGCTCTCGACATTGACATCTTCAACTGCTCGATTTCCTTAATTTTCTGCTCTAATTCAAGTCGATATCTTTCAGCACTCTCTATCGAGGCTTTCTTATCGGACTTGGACTTCATCACTCTTTTCAAAAGTAAAGGAGTAATAGCGGTAATGTCAGCAATTGATTCAGGATCTTCTTCAGCCATGATTGCAAGTGCTCTTCTCTCGAAAGAATTAATATCAGCTATACAAAACTCAAGATCACCGGATAGATCTTCATCAGACTCAGGCAGGCATGCAGGAAGTAATAACTTTGATCGTCTCGATAACAAATTGTCTTGATATTTTGTCTTCATATAATAATCTTTACAATGCTTATTTAAAAGATCTCTTCGACATTCAATGCACTTCCAAGGAACAGTTTCTTCTCGAATTAAATGAGAATCCAAATCATAACATGCGGTGTGAAACGTGCGATTACAGAAAAAGCACAACATCATTGGATTATATTCAGCTTTCTTTGTATCTTTATTGTCGAGCTTGCATGTGCGACTTTTAAGCACACATTCAGTTGCCAAACAATTCACATCCAATTTCAGCTTCTCGCCTGACAAGAAATATGCAGCTATCTCTGACGTTAGCGCATCTCGATCATTTATGTGTTGCGTCCATTGAGGATTTATGCTACCTTCGCTAGTGAAGGCAATTGGATCTTGTTTTGCCATTTAACCTGACTTTTCTTAAACTTCTGGATGATACGAACCGACTTCAATTTATGCTTTTCAGACTTGATACTGATAAATACAGCAATAAACAGACGGAAGAGGCGACACTCTATGAATCCAGACAGCAAAATCAAGCAACAAGATACCTAAATTCAAACAATAAATTCACTATGTTCCACGTGAATTTTCTCACCATAAAATCGACGAACAGAAGAATGTTGTGGATCCCACACGATCAATTCAGCTGTTAATGATGAGGACAAGCTTCCTCTATCGGAAGACTAAGATCCAGTGCAGATGATTGAGCTATTTCAATCAAATTGCACGCTTCCAGTAACACGTGTTCTGTAAACTGAAAATCGAGAAAATTGGAGCTAATTCCAATTTCTCGTCATGAACTGCTTATCGAGCTACTTCGATAAGCTTTAGCAAATATAAATTAATTAGCTCTATCGCTAATTAAGAGCTGGAAAACTTTTTAACCAAAGTTTTCAGTGACAAAATTTATTTAAAAGATTTTTGTGACGGAGTGCGGAGTTTTTAAACCCGTAAATAAATAAATTTAAATGAAACGAAGTGAGTTCTATTAATCTATAACTTCAATCTTTATTTCCTGCTCTATTTAAATTTATTTGTGGATTTTAAATAAATTGTCCTTTCCTCCACGTCTCAAAAATGTTGTGTCAACTGATCAAATCAAATTGAGAGGGGTTTGCTACTGGGACAGAAATATTTAAATCTCCAAATTCCGTTATTAATTCAAATAATTTATTTAACGACTTTCCGTTAAATAAATATGTAACAGCAATTTGTTACAGACGAAGATGAAGGATTATCGCCATGGGTGCAGCTTAGTGTCTGGCTCGTTACTTGTTGATCAGTTTTTGAATTCTTTGAATTTTTTTTAAGTTTTTCCTCAAACTTTCATAGTTTTCTACCAGTTTTGCTGTTCGTCTTCGACTAAACTGCATTTTAGAAATTCTCAACAAAAAAATACGAAAATAAATTCAAAAATACAATTTTTCAAATTTTCTGTGCATCCACAAAATGTAGATAATCATTGAAAATTGAGATAGAAATTGAGTTATCTTGTATGGAAATTTTTTTAAGCTTTTGGAAAAAGGACATAGCAAAAAAGAATTCAGATGAGGATTTGAGAAGATTTTCCAACTAAATTGCAATCTTAGTTTTGTTCAAAGAATTTAATTTTTTCTCTTTTGGGATTTTTTTCAAAGTGTTTGAAGATTAATGCTAATTGGAGCATGGAAAAAGGAAGAGAAAAATTGATAATCTCCATTTTATGAATATGCGAGTTTATCTTGATGATTTTGAGGTTAGGTTTTATAATGCTGTGATCAAAAAAATTTTTTGAGGGGGTTCTAAGCTCAAGGGTAAAAAGTAAAATTTGTGTTTAAACATTTTCAATTTTTAAAGAGATTTAATAATTTTTCCATACAGATTTTGGTCATTACGTATGAAATTAAGGTTGGTTGAGTACAAACCATGATCAAGAGTAGAATATAAAATATTCAACAATGAGTTGTTGACCCCTTAACCCAAAATCATTAGAAGTTCGAGAATTTAAGCAATATTTACCAATTTTCAATGACTTTCTCAACGTCCAGGGGCCTTAAACTACACAACATCTTCCTAAACCCCACTTAAACCCCTTTTTAACCCTCAATCCCACCAATAACCAGATCCAGACACACCAAAAATTTCATCTACACAAGACAATTTTCATTTCTTATCTTTTCCATCTTAATTTTCTCGTCATCATCTTCGTCTTCATCTTATAATTGCTGTTTTTGTTTGCTTTTCCTATTAAGTCTTTATTTGATAATCTTCACACATTCTTTAGATGATTAGAATGGAATTAAGTCCTTAAGTTTCTCTCTTCTCTCTGTCGATGCTGCCTTTGTTGCTCGTTCTTGTCTTATTTGCATTTTTTTAAAATTTTATCTTGTGTTGCTTCTTGTTTGAGTTTGTATTTCTTGTTTAAAAAGGGTTAAAATATTTTTGTGAAGAATTTTAAAGATTTTGTGTGCAGTTTAGTTGAAATTTTGGAGAAAATTAGGTTTCGTGCGTCATATTTTGGGAAAACAGTAAAGTCTCTTCCGGAATATGTCACTGTATAGTTTCATTAATTGTTTTTTAAGGGAAAAATGGTCTATTAACTCTTGGATGTTTTCTGAACTGCCTGGAACTCAAAAATGATCTTCCATAGCTACTTGAGTAGTCAAGAACCTCTAAATAGACCTTTTTAAACCCTAAGCATGAAAACTCAGTCCTCTTGATCAAAATGAATATTGATTTGGACGCTTACGAGCTTTATACCAATGAAATTTGGTATTTTCTATCATAATGAATTCTTAACTCTGAAAACCTTGCCGTTGATGCTGTAAAAAATCCCCATGAAATCCCCACAATTATCTTTAAAATATAATTCATGATAATTTCTTCAAAAACACATTAAACTGAGACAATTAAAACCCTGAAAATTAAATAAGACATTTTAAGAATTTTTTCGCATTCGGTTTCATTTCTTCACATCAAGTGTGAATAAACAAGCTTATAAAAATTATTTCAAGGAATCAAGTTCGTCTTTGAATGTTGAGCTTATGCACATAAGATTAAATAAACGAGAAACTTTTTCATGTCAGCTTCAGTTTTAGTTTCATTCATTTAATGAGAACATTGAAATTAAGTGTGAAAAACGTCTGTTAATGACAGAATGAAATAATGCAGAAGAAATGTATTAAAACTGAATTTTTGAAGGAGAGGTAAATGTTGTGCGGGGTTCTGAGGACATTTTGAGCAAATTATGAGAGAATTTCCAATTTTAAAAGAATTTTACAGAATATTTTGAGGTTATCTAGTCAAATAAGACTGAAAAGAACCCAAAAAGCATTTAACACCAAATCTAGCGACCTTCTGATAACATAAAAATCTAAAATTATCCAATCCAACCCCCTTCGATACTCACTTAACCCCCTCAATCATTCCAAATGAACCACACATGACAGCTCAATTGTCAGAACAACCAAAACATTTGCTAAAAAGTTAGTTGAACCTTCAAGTTGGAATAATTAATGCTCGTGTGCAAATTGACATGTTAACAGAAAGAAAAAGAACGGAAAGAAAATAAGAATGGAGGTGTCAAGTTAAGGTTGAGAAGATAAGAGGCATAAAATCTTATAAAAATAATGTCTGAGTGGAATAATTTGGGTTTAAATGTGAAAAAAGTATTTGTTGTGATGGAAAAAGTAAGCAAAATCTTCATTTTTTTACCGATTTTTTAAAATTTGAATTTTTAACGGTTTTTTGAAATTTAAATTATTAATGGTTTTTTGAAATTTGAATTTTTATCGAGTTTTTTGTAATTTGAGTTTTTAACGATTTTTTAAAATTTAAAATTTTGAAAGGTTTTTTGAAATTTGAATTTTAACGGTTTTTTTAAATTTGAATTTTTAACGGTTTTTTTTAATTTGAATTTTTAACGGATTTTTTGAAATATAAACTTTCAACGGTTTTTTGAAATTTAAATTATTAATGAGTTTTTGAAATTTGAATTTTTATCGAATTTTTTGTAATTTGAGTTTTTAACGATTTTTTGAAATTTAAATTTTTAAAGGTTTTTTGAAATTTGAATTTTTAACGGTTTTTTTAAAATTTGAATTTATAACGGTTTTTTAAAATTTGAATTTTTTAACAGTTTTTCGAAGTTTGAATATTTACCGGTTTTTAAGATTCAAATATTTTCAACTGGTTTTTGTGACTTAATTTTAACAAAAATTGGTTAAAATTCAATTTTTTAACATCTAAATTCAGTGGAACACTGCAAACTCTTCCCCTGAATCTAGCGCACATTGCAACATTTATTTAAATTCTTTTCAAATTTTCATTTCGCAATTATTTTCCTCTTATTTTCCACTCAAATATTCTCATCTCATTTAACAAGCACAATATTCACTTCCACTTCGTTCAGCAAAATGATCAAAAATGCAAAAGAACAATTTTCAGCTTCTCAACATACACAAAAAAAAAAGGAAAACGCTCATGAATGCAATAATATGAACAATTTTTTAAAATTCCTTAATTAAATTTTGTATAAAATTTGCATCTTAAATTTTCTCAACATTTTAAAATTAAATTTTTCTTTCTTTCTTGTTATTTTAATTTCAGATGCTGCAAAGTATGCGCGAAAACAGTTGGTGAGACGTGCGGTGGTATGGGTGGATTTTCAGGCACGTGTGAGCCGCCACTTAGATGTATATCAAAGCCTCCTATTATTGGAACTGGCATTTGTTTAGGTAAGGATTGGTTTTGTGACTTTTTTGATGGGATTTAGGGAACATTTTCCTTTATTAACGACTATCAGGCACTTTGTGTGCATAGATGGTGTTGGAAGGACTCTATGATGTTTATTGAATCAATATAGTGCAGTGGTGGTCAACCTCCTTACCACGGCACACCGGATGGTAAGAAATGACCAAAACCGACACACGGTTTGTGAAATATCCCCAAATTTTCATGGTTCACTAGTGTGCCGCGACACGCAGGTTGACCATCACTGACATAGTATTAGACTTAAGGCCTAAAATATCAAAAATTCCTCAAAAAACTTTAAAAAAACCAGCAAAAAGTTTAATTAAAATCTAGTAAAAATCCAGCCAAACACAAGCACGCTCGAGCTATTCATCCTCATCTTCCACCACAGTTCACAAAAAAAAAATCTTTCTCATATTCCTCATCCAAAATGAATTCTCCTTCTGTTGCCATTAAAACCATCACAAAGCGTGCAAAAAATGGCTTCGGACAATTCTTGTAAAAGTTTCTTGAACTTTTCCCATTTTAAATCATGACGTGCAGGAAGATTTATGAGATTTAAAAGAGCTGGGAATTATGGAAAAAAAAATTTTTTTTTTGTCGGAGGGGAAACTCTTGAGGTGAACTTTCAGCTGATTCACTGTTCATTAGTTATTCATGACTGACTTTTTATTGGAGTTTTTTTTTTTGGCTGGCTGGTTGTTGATGTTGAAGTTGAATGAACTTTTTGGAAGTATTTTTATTGTTTATTTATGAGTTTTTATTTAGGGTAAGTGAGGTTAGGTTGGGGTTGTAGCAGGGATAGGAGACTAGTTTGGGGTTGGAGCAGGGTTTTCAGGGACTAGTTTGGGGTTGGAGCATGGTTGAGGGACTAGTTTGGGGTTGGAGCAGAGTTTGGAACTAGTTTGGGGTTGAAGCAGGGTTAGGGGGACTAGTTTGGGGTTGGAGCATGGTTGAGGGACTAGTTTGGGGTTGTAGCAGGGATAGGAGACTAGTAAGGAGTTGTAGCAGGGATAGGAGACTAGTATGGGGTTGTAGCAGGGATGAAGGACTAGTTTGGAGTTGGAGCAGGGATAAGCCACTAATTTTGGGTTGGAGCAGGGTTGGGGGACTAGTATAGAGTTGTAGCAGGGATATAAGACTAGTTTGGGGTAGCAGTTATGAATCAGTGGACAAAATGTCAAGAGCATGGCTGCAGGAATTCAAAAGAACTTAAACGTTAGTTTTGGAGGGAGACAGTAAACTCTTTTCATAAATATGACGCACGATTTTGTTTTTTTTTGTTTCAGTTCACTCCGTTCTTAACTCTAAACGATTTCCGGCCACTTTGTTCTATATAAACCAAAATTCCAATCAAACTCAATGTCTGCAGCCCCAATCAACCAAAAAAGTTTTACAAAAACGCCCCTAAACTCATAACATCAACCATTAAATTACCCCTAATGTATTTACAATGGTCGTAAAAAATATCAAACTACAATAAATAATCTTCTTTTTTCTCATAAAATATATTTTACCAGCATAAAAAGTCTCTAGACTGTCCTTAAATGTATAAAAAAAGAGATGTGAAAGTTTTTTTTTCCTCTCCTTCTTCTTTGACTTTCTCAGTCGAGAGAGACAGAATGACGATAATTTTATGAGAAGGAATTGTTCTTAGATTAACATAAATTTCATGAATTGTGGTTTTCTAATGATGCAAGTAAGGAAGGTTGATAAGCTTTGAGTTCAAATTGATCAAGACTGATTCAAACTGATGAACCGGCGGACAAACGGAACAAAAGAACCAGCATTGAGTTCGGTTCCTGAAACACAAAAAAGATGTCCACAATCAAAATTAAATAACAAATTTCAGCTTGCAGACTGACAAACAAAACTTTTTGGCACAAATCCCAATGAAGCGGATCTGTGTCTCATTTAATTCTATTTGGATATTAATTTAATTTCTTGGCAGAGATTTTGAATTTTTAATCAGCTATTGTCCTATATTGTTATCTGATTGTGTGACAGGTGGTCATCAAAAGCTTTTTTATTATTTTCTGAAATTTTAGCTTACTTAAAGTGGTCAATAATCATGTGGAGACTGCACTTCTACTCAAACTGTTCTAAAAGTGGTGTACTGCGTGCGACTTTTGACACCATTTGATTAAAATATACCAAAATGGTGCAAAACGTGTGACTATTGACACTTTTTGAATGCAATGGTCTAAAATCGTGTACCGGGTGCGACTTTTGACACCACTTCATTAAAATAAACCAAAATGGTATAATATGTGCGACTTTTGACACTAATTCATCAAAATATTCCAGAATAGTGTGGAACGTGCGACTATTGACACTTTTTGAATGCAATGGCCTAGAATCGTGCAACGAGTGCGACTTTTGACACAAGTTCATTAAAATATCCTCAAGTGGTGTGGAACGTGCGACTACTGACACTTTTTTTGTAAGATCCTTACCTTTAAAGCTCATAAAGTCATGAAAACCTCTCACTAGCTTCAGTTTTTCCATCTCATTTCCAATCTAATCTCAATTTTCCACTTCGTTCAATAAAAAATATATTTTTCCTCCAATTTCACTAAGGGGTTGTTCACTTATTACGTAACGCGAAAAAATGACTTTTTAGACCCCCCTTCCCCCCCCTCCCCCTCGTAACAAAATTTGTATGAAAAAAAAATTTCCTTGTTTGAACCGTAACAAAATCTTAGACCCCCCCCCCTAAAAGCGTTACGTAATAAGTGAATGGCCCCTAATAGGAATATGTCAATTAATCTTTGATTAATTTCGCAGAATTCATTAAACTTTGAGAAAATATTTTTTCTGTGTCAAATGAGACGATGAAAATGCCAATCAAAGTTTAATTGGAAAAAAAGTTTTTAATTAAAAATTAACACACATTTTTGTGACTTTGTGAAGTTTTTTGTACTTAATTGCGTGTTTTCGTGTTGATAGGGCGTTATTTGACACATAAGAATGATGAGCCGTAGGTTGCACACCATTTTGAACTATTTTATATCAAAGTGTGTCAATAGTCGTACTCAGCACACCATTCTGAACCATGTGTCATGAGTAACAAGCCCTAATACCATATCTCAACATCAGATTACGACTCTAGCCTAGCTACAGCCTTAAAATCCTCTTTACAGATTCATTCTAAGAACATTCAAATCCCAATAAGCTTTTGTCATAGAATCTTGTACTCAAATCACTTCAAAGCATTGCAATAAGCCAGGTTTCCATGTCAATAATTTCAAAGAAAATGTAAAAATAATTCTCGGGACAATTATCATTCATATTCTCATGAGGCATCACAATTCTAAGCTTAAAAGCTATGACAACGAGCAGGTTCGTACAAAATCCCTTGAAACATTTCAATCTGTTCCTTGAATTCTCTTGACGTAAGCTGCTTTAAAATTCAACATAAATTTTCGTCGTAAATAATTCAAAATGAAAGCTTTGAGTAAATTTGAACAGCTTTTTGAGTTTTCTTTAGTCTTTGCTTGCTTTTGAGATACTTTTTGAGTGTTTCTTTTATTTGATGAATCAAATAGAAGAAATAGTTCTAGGAACAAGTAAGAGAGTAATTTGAGGTGTAGGCATAAAGCGCATTTTTGCTAAAGTGATCCAAAATCGTGTGCAGCGTGCGACTCTCGACACCTGTTTATTAAAATGACCAATAATCGTGTGCAGCGTGCGACTTTTGACAATTGTTCATTAGAATGACCAAAAGTCGTGTGCAGTGTGCGACTATTGACACTTGTTTATCAGCATGACCAATCCTCGTGTGCAGTGTGCGACTATTGACACTTGTTCATCAGAATGACCAAAAGTAGTGTGCAATGTGCGACTATTGACACTTGTTCATCAGAATAACAAATAGTCGTGTGCAGTGTGCGACTATTGACACTCGTTTATCAGAATGACCAAAAGTCGTGTGCAATGTGCGACTATTGACACTTGTTCATCAGACTGGTCAATAGTCGTGTGCAGTGTGCTACTATTGACACTTGTTCATCAGAATGACCAAAAGTCGTGTGCAATGTGCGACTATTGACACTTTTATGCAACAATTTAAGCATAACTTGAGGAAGCCTTGCAATTTTTCCATCCATAAACCCCTCAAGAGTCATCAAAGTTGCATCCAATGATGACAGAAAATCAATAAAGCCACAAAATCCCCAAACAGAATCAACAAAACCAAACTTTTCCGACATACTTCATTAAATAATTCAACAACGAGCATTTCATAACCTCAATCCGCAGTTATTTCCTTCATTTTGACACAATTCGGTTTCACTTTTCGTTCGTCTGTCATTAAAATTGACGTCTGCTTAAAAACTTTTGTTGGATTTTTCGATCAAATATAGGAAAAAATAAAGTTTGTAATGAGATTATTGCAAGTACATTTGTGCTACATCTAAACTTTTGTGGTTCAGAAAATTGTTGACAGTTTTGTGGTTGAAAAAAGTTTTGCAATACTTGAGACATGTTCGATGTAAGCTATGACATTTGAAGTAATTGATTGGATTAAAGGATAAAAGGCAATGAAATTATGGAATTTTTATTGATTATTGTCAATAGCTATGTGTCAATAGCCACACGTTGCACACTACTTTTGGTCAATTTGATGAACTAGTGTCGATAAGAATCACACGTTGCACACGACTTTTGGTCATTGAGATGAAAAAGTGTCAAGAATCGCACGTTGCACATTACTTTTGGTCAATTTTATGAAACAGTGTCGATAGTCGCATGCTGCACACTACCTTTGGTCAATTTGATGAACTAGTGTCGATAAGAATCGCACGTTGCACACGACTTTTGGCCATTGAGATGAAAAAGTGTCAAGAATCGCACGTTGCACACGACCTTTGGTCATTGAGATGAAAAAGTGTCAAGAATCGCACGTTGCACACGACCTTTGGTCATTGAGATGAAAAAGTGTCAAGAATCGCACGTTGCACACGACTTTTGGTCATTGAGATGAAAAAGTGTCAAGAATCGCACGTTGCACACGACTTTTGGTCATTATGATTAAAAGGTGTAAATAGTCGCACGCTGAACACGACTTATGGTCATTTAGATGAAAAAGTGTCAATAGTCGCACGCTACACACGATTATTGACCACTTTAACAAAACAATTGACAAAAAGTTGTCAAAAAAAAGTCTCAAAGTGTTCAACTTAAGCAGTCTCAAAATCCCAAACTCAATAATAGATATCGAGGACATAAAAAAAGAAACTTTTTCATCGCAGCAATCGAAGACAAATTTAATCGAATAAGAAGAAAAAATATCGAAAAATCTTTGCTGAGTTCATCAAACTTGAAACTTTTTTTTTGCTTTCTTTCTTCCATTAAATGTCATCCAACTTTTTCTTCTGTTCTGTTTGTCGACGTTTGCTGGTCTTTAAATGAATAAGATGAAAAGCACTTGATTGGGATTTTTTTTTTTGAGGACGATGAAAGCGATTGAATGAGAAGAATGGAACACAAAGTGGAGAGCAAAAGAGAACGTTTTCAATTAAAAATGATGAAAAAGTGAACAATCGGATGGGAAAATTTTCTACAATGTGGTCGACTGACAATAATGCGATTTTACAGTTGGATGGATTGTTTGGTTATTGAAGGATTTATTAAGTATTGCTTGCTAATTTTATGATATTAATTTCAGGAATAATTTCAGAATTATATTATATGAATTTTGCAGTTCTAGGAAGGGTTTAAGGGATAAGTTTAGTCATAGGAATGAGTTGCTAGGGATAAGTTTAGTTTCTAAGAATAAGTTCAGTTTCCAGAGATAAAATCAGCTGCTAGGAATAAGTTCAGTTAAAATGACTAATTGTAGTTACTATGGATAAGATCAGTTTGTAGGGATACGTTCAGTTCTTAGGGATACGTTTAATTTCTTAGGTTCAACCATTTTAAAATATTAAAATATTTTATTCTTAAAAAAATAAAATAAATCTATACCAAAAAACAGATTTAATATGAAATCTCAAGCCATTGACATTTCGACATCATCTGATACCGGTTTACTTTCGTTAGTAATTTTATAGAACAGCAACCAGCCACAAAAGAGAAAATAGCATTCAATGAATAATATTATGAGTGGAACGTAAAACTGATTGGAATTTGACAATATAATAAATATTGCGAATCCAACAACACCAATAGTGTTGATCACAAGATATAGAGCCATGGATCCATTTTGTCTCTGTAAAGAAATAGATTTTTGTGAGAGATTTTCATTGATGAGGATAATTTATAGATTTGTCTTACATTTTTCACGCCTTTGATGAAATAATAACAGATCAAAATGAACAGAAATGCAATCAATAAAATAGTAAAATCTAGAAAAAAAAAAACGTATTTTAAGAAGTAAACTACAGAATTAGATGTAAATTACAAGATCACAAATCAAGAGCTAGTTTTTGGGCTAACCTTTCCCTACAATTAAATATTTTCAGAGGCTGATTTAAGTTGAAATACATTTCATGGGAATAAGTTCAGTTTTGAGGTTCATCTAAATTTCCGGAGAAAATTCAGATTCGAGGATAAGTTCAATTTTTGGGAATAAGTTCAGTTTTGAAGATAAGACTAGTATTTGATTAAAGGTTTACTTTCTGAGAATAAGTTCAGTTTTGAGGTTCATTGAAATTTCTGGAAAAAATTCCGATTCGAGGATAAGTTCAATTTTTTGGATAAGTTCAGTTTGAGGATAAGATTAGTATTTGATTAAAGGTTTACTTTCTGGGGATAAGTTCAGTTTTAAGGAAAAGACTAGTATTTGATTAAAGGTTTACTTTCTGAGGATAAGTTCAGTTTTGAGGTTCATTGAAATTTCTGGAGAACATTCAGATTCGAGGATAAGTTCAATTTATGGGAATAAGTTCAGTTTTGAGGATTAGACAACTATTTGAATAAAGGTTTACTTTCTTGGGATATGTTCAGTTTCAAGGTTAATTTAAAATTTCTATGGACAGGTTCAGTTTGGAGGATAATTCCAATTTCTGGGGATAAGTTAAGTTTTGAGGATATGATTAGTTTCTGATTATAGGTTTATTTTCTGAAGATAATTTCAGTTTTGAGGTTAAGTTTCGCTTTAAATGACACATCACGATGTGATAATATTTACCATCTGATCTTTGGAGATAGAAATTTGGTGAACCCCACATAATAAACAAGATCATATGAGCATATGCAAAAAGTAAGCATCTTTCTTCCAACGTGCAGCACTTATTAACATCTTTACTTGATCGCTGTGACATTTTAATTTAATTATTAAAATAATCTTTTGTTTATTAAGAAGCTAAAAGTAAGTTTGAAACTATTCGTCCAGAAAAATGTTGCTTAATGCAGTAAAAATGGAACTGAATCCGACTAATAACTCACTATGACCGTACCGAAGATAGCTAGTTCAGAAAAACTACCTCAAAACAATCAACAAGTGTGCCAAACAGCACATTACACAAAAAATTCCAAAAAGGTCAAGGTTGTTCAAATTTACGACTTCATTGCCTAATGTCGTGTCACTTGGGGAGTATTAACAGTAGCTCAAATCCCATCAATCTTTTTACTTTCAAACTTCACATTTATTTATTTTCCAAAACTTTTCTTCATTCCAGAACTACCCTCATCCTTATCATCATCATCAAATATCAGCATTAAATCACCAAAGAGCAAGTCACCGTCCTCATCATGTCAAGAGAAAATTGTAATTCAACCCGGCTGTGAAATTGTTGATCGCCGTTGTCAATGTTGGATGAATCCAATCAATGTGTGTCGTGAATCGAGTCTCGTCAAGTGGGATTTTGTCAATATTGAGGTGAGAAATGAGTAAAAATAAAAAAAGTTTTTTTTTCTTGTTGTGAGTCGAATTGAGAGGATTTTTGGGGATTTTTGTATGGATTTACTGAGAATTTGATTTGAAATTTGAGGTTAGAATTGTCAATGGGATTAAATGGGATTATTAGTAGTGGTAAGCGTGCGACTTTTGACACTTTTGAACAATAGACCTCAAAAGTGGTGTGTAACGTGCGATTTTTGACATTTATGATCAAAAGACCTCAAAAGTGGTGCGTAACGTGCGACTTTTAACCAATTTTGATCAATAGACCTCAAAAGTGGTGTGTGACGTGCGACTTTTGACACTTTTGATCAATAGACCTCAAAAGTGGTGCGTAACGTGCGATTCTTAACATTCAATCATGAAAAACCTCTCAATTCTCCTCACTTAATGTCAATAATCCTCAATTTTCACGAAAATTTTGTTCCTTTATATAGGAGTGTGAGCTCAATTTAGCGAATCTCGTTAAATCAGAAGTGGAATTCGATGAGGATTACACAATGCCCCCAACAAGTTACGGTACGATGCCATTTTTAATTTGATATTTCAAGACATTTTCAATATTTTTTCAATTTTCTTCCACAGAACTCATCAAAAAGCTCAGCAAGCGAAGGAGAAAAGGCGAAATGGTAAGGAACGAGACACAAAATCGATAATCTCGATTGAATTTCGAATCTCATTAAATTTAATTGATGTCTTCGAGGCTTATCTCTGTTATTGATATTGTCTATTTACCAAAATTGAAGTTTTTATTTTTTTTTGCTATTAAATTCGAGAGAAAATTTGAATTTTTTGGAGACGATGACAATGATGGATGTGGAGATGGTGTGATAAATGCTTGTAAATTGATATTTGAGGATTTTTTGGGGGAGATTAATGAAATTTAAACGATTTTCTTCATTAATTTTAATTGGAGTGACTAGAATTTCGACAATAGTCGCATAGAATACACGATTTTGGTTTCCATAAGTTAAAATGGGACTGAGAACCGCACAGAGCACACGACTTTGGTGTCAACTGCAATTTAATGTGCCGAGAGCCGCACAGAGAACACGACTTTGGTGTCAAGTCAAACAAGTTTCAAGAACCGAGGTGTCAAGTGTGGTAAAATGTGTCAAGGACCGCACAGAACACACGACTTTGGAGTCAAGTGCAGTTTATTGTGCCAAGAGCCGTAGAGATCACACGACTTTGAAGTCAAGTCAAGCAAATGTCAAGAATCGCACAGAGAACTCGACTTTGGTGTCAAGCATATTAAAATGTGTCAAAAACCGCACAGAACAAACAACTTTGGTATCAAGTGTAGTCAAATGTCTCTAAAATCGTACAAAACACACGACTTCTGTACCTTGCCTCACCCTCACATTTGACTCCACCCCATCACGCCCTTCACTTCCATCAAAATCAAGCCTCAAACAAATTTAATTAAGCATGAAACATTCAAGGTTATCACAATTAACCTTTTCTTGAGCAAACTTAATGTAAATTCCCCACGAAATCAGTCGACATCACAACCCACATCCACATGACATATGATTTCAAATATTTTCTCATCAAATTACTCAAATTTAATTCCCCCAACATCTAAACTTTTGTTTTTTTTACAGCACCGACACCAGCGAGAGTCAAAAGGTCAAGTCACATCATGATTACAAGACTCATCAAATGACTAAATTAGGAGACACTTTTTCTAGATAATGTGACGGAATGAAGAGATGAAAATAAAATTTTTGTATGTGTAAAGAACGCGTCAGCATTAATTATTTGTGAAAATAAGGTGGGTATGGTGTGCTTATTATTCAAATATTGGATGTATGATGGTTTTTTTGGGGATGGTCTGAATGGATGAATCAAGTAGAATGCACGGTTTTGGGCAACTTTAAATGATGGATTTCAAAAGTCGTGTAGAGTGCACGGTTTTGGGACACTTTGAATGAATGTTGTCAAAAGTCGTGTAGAACACACGGTTTTGGGCAACTTTAAATGATGGATTTCAAAAGTTGTGCAGAATACACGGTTTTGGGCCACTTTGAATGAAGAATGTCAAAAGTCGTGTAGAACGCACGGTTTTGGACCACTTTGAATGAAGGATGTCAAAAGTCGTGTAGAGTGCACGGTTTTGGGACACTTTGAATGAATGTTGTCAAAAGTCGTGTAGAACACACGGTTTTGGGCAACTTTAAATGATGGATTTCAAAAGTTGTGCAGAATACACGGTTTTGGGCCACTTTGAATGAAGAATGTCAAAAGTCGTGTAGAACACACGGTTTTGGGCAACTTAGAATGAATGATGTCAAAAGTCGTGTAGAGTTCACGGTTTTGGGCCATTTTGAATGAAGGATGTCAAAAGTCGTGTAGAACACACGGTTTTGGGCAACTTTAAATGATGGATTTCAAAAGTTGTGCAGAATACACGGTTTTGGGCCATTTTGAATGAAGAATGTCAAAAGTCGTGTGAAACGCACGGTTTTGGGACACTTTGAATGAATGTTGTCAAAAGTCGTGTAGAGCGCACGGTTTTGGGCCACTTTGAATCAAGGATGTCAAAAGTCGTGTAGAACGCACGGTTTTAGTACACTTTGAATGAAGGATGTCAAAAGTCGTGTAAGACGCACGGTTCTGGGACACTTTGAATAAATGATGTCAAAAGTCGTGTAGAGCGCACGGTTTAAGTACACTTTGAATGAAGGATGTCAAAAGTCGTGTAAAACCCACGGTTTTGAAACCTTAAGTCTAACAATTTTCCCATTTCTTGTTCCTCTCATTGCAGAATTGATGTACAATAAGCCAAATAATCTAATCATGATAAGAATTGAAATAAATACCTATAAATATTATGAAACAGAATAAATATACGAATATACAAATTAAATAAGAATATTACACAATAAATATCACACAACAAGATGACAACAGCTCAGCATATCCGGATGTAATTTGAGATCTAAATCAACAAATTGATTTGATTGCGGTTGCAATGTTGGGCATCTTGAGTAATTATAAACATATTTTGGTATGGTCGACCTAAGTCAACTTGGATGACAAAGTGTTTTTAAACAAGAACTGAAATTCAACATCTAGGAAGGCAAAAGACGAAAATTAAAAATGATTTTGTAGATTTTTTAAAATTTTTAAAATTTGATTTTTGACTGTAATGTGATTAATTTTAAACATATCTGGACTTCATATCAAGTTATGGAACATTTACAAAATTAAAACTATAATTTTAAAACATTTATTTAAAAAATTCAATTTAATTTGTTTATTTTAAATGAAAACCAAAAATTCAAAAATAAAGAAAAAATGTACGAACAAAAAATAATTAAAAATAAGAAAAAATAATTAAATTAATATTGAGAATGTCACATATGAGAATTGTACAAAATAATAATAATAAAAAAATATTCATAAATAAGATGAAATATTAAAAAATAATTTTTTACTTTTTGAACTACTTTTTATATTTTTATCGAATTTAAAAAATCTAGTTTTCAGAAGTCAGCAAATTTGCAGCAAAAAAAAAGGTCAAACATGACAAATCACTCTGCAGTCCCCTAACCCATCTCAACATAATTGATCATATCAACTTCCAAAATCTGAAACCTCAAGATTTTAATTGAAAACCCCACAAAAGCCACACAAAAGGAAAAATTTTGAAAATGCCACAATTAATCATCAAGAAAATTTCCCTTCATATTCCTAATTAAATGATGAAATTCGATGATGATAATAATAATAAACTTAAATGAATTATCTGGAATAATAAACTAAATGATGTGTCTGAAAATCTGAAAATTATCTTCATTTGACAGTCGATTAATTTCGTTTTAAACAGGAGAAGTTGGGTTTGTGTTGAGTTTTTGGGGGAAACTGAGGATTAGACCATTTTTTTGATTATCTGACTAGCTTTGACTTGATTATCCGACTAGGTTTGACTCGTTTATCCGACTAGCTTTGACTCTATTATCCGACTAGCTTTGACTTGATTATCCGACTAGGTTTGACTCGTTTATCCGACTAGCTTTGACTCGATTATCCGACTAGCTTTGACTTGATTATCCGACTAGGTTTGACTCGATTATCCGACTAGCTTTGACTTGATTATCCGACTAGGTTTGACTTGATTATTCGAATAGCTTTGACTTGATTATCCGACTAGCTTTGACTCGATTATCCGACTTGGTTTGACTCGTTTATCCGACTAGGTTTGACTCGTTTATCCGACTACTTTTGACTCGATTATCCGACTAGATTTACCTCGATTATCCGACTAGCTTTGACTTGATTATCCGACTAGGTTAGACTCGTTTATCCGACTAGTTTTGACTCGATTATCCGACTAGCTTTGACTTGATTATCCGACTAGAATAGAATCACAAACATCAAGTCATCTGTGTTATACTTTATAATCCACAACTCTCCTTTAATTTGCGCCCAACCAGAAAAATCACTTTTCATGTCTCTTCATTAAAATAATTATTTGTTGTTGTTGCTAAAATTTGAAAAGCTAATTAATTAGCAAAATTAAATCCTAGCTTTCAAAATTATCTTAAAATTTGTATACAATATTATCAAATGGATTTGAAGCATTATCGTCAATTTGTTTAATTGGATGTAAGCTAAAGAGGATTTGCGTCTATAGAAAATGTTTGATGTGAATTTGGAGCTCTTGAAATTGAAAAATCCTTCAATCTTGCTAGTTAAGATGATCTAGTTGATGTATTTTGGTCGATCACGTCATAAAGTTATTAAACCACACTAAACTCTAGTCTTGAGTACTCTAAAATATCAAATTATTCAGAAATACTCAAAAATATTCAAAATTTTACCTCTAGCACATCGATCAACCTTCAAAAATTCCAATACCACTTCCACAACAACCAAAAACAAGTAAATAAGCAATAAATGAAAAAAATAAAAACATGAGTAGGAATGTATCATAAGACCTTAACATGACATGAATAAACTAAATAGGCATTTTTGCCATAAATAAGCAAGGATGATGATGATAATGCTGATAATAAATGGAAAAATAATTGGATTATGTCACATTCACAGCTTCGTTGGCATATCAATGACATTCTTGAGATGTTTATTCACTTTTTTCTTCTTATTTCTAGACTTACTTGCTTTGGTGTTGAGGAAGAAGATGTTTTACGGTGATTTTGTGCGAATTTATGTTGAATTATGAATTTTTTGAGGAACTATCCGACTAAGATTTATTTCGATCATCCGACTAGGTTTCATCTCAATTATCCGACTAGTTTTTATTTCGATTATCCGACTAGCTTTCATCTCGATTATCCGACTGGGTTTCATCTCGATTATCCGAATAGCTTTTATCTCGATTATCAGACTAGGTTTCATCTCGAATATCAGACTAGGTTTTAACTGGATTATCCGACTAGGTTTCATCTCGAAAATCAGACTAGGTTTTAACTCGATTATCCGACTAGGTTTTATCTCGATTATTCGACTAGTTTTTATTTCGATTAACCGACTAACTTTCACTTCGTTTATCCGACTAGGTTTCATCTCGATTATCCGACTAGGTTTCATCTCAATTATCCGACTAGGTTTCATCTCGATTATCCGACTAGGTTTCATCTCGATTATCCGACTAGATATCATTTCGATTATCCAACTAGGTTTCATCTCGATTATCCGACTAGCTTTCATCTCGATTATCCGACTAGTTTTTATTTCGATTAATCGACTAGCTTTCACTTCGTTTATCCGACTAGGTTTCATCTCGATTATCCGACTAGTTTTTATTTCGATTATCCGACTAGCTTTCATCTCGATTATCCGACTGGGTTTCATCTCGATTATCCGAATAGCTTTTATCTCGATTATCAGACTAGGTTTCATCTCGAATATCAGACTAGGTTTTAACTGGATTATCCGACTAGGTTTCATCTCGATTATCCGACTAGGTTTCATCTCAATTATCCGACTAGGTTTCATCTCGATTATCCGACTAGGTTTCATCTCGATTATCCGACTAGATATAATTTCGATTATCCAACTAGGTTTCATCTCGATTATCCGACTAGCTTTCATCTCGATTATCCGACTAGTTTTTATTTCGATTAATCGACTAGCTTTCACTTCGTTTATCCGACTAGGTTTCATCTCGATTATCCGACTAGGTTTTATCTCGATTATCCGACTAGCTTTCATCTCGATTATCCGACTTGATTTAAAAGTTTATTTGAAATTCTGACAAAATACACCTACTTTATCCTATCACCTAAGGAGCATTCTTCATCTTCCTAATATACATCGACTACTGCTGTGTTGTTTTTTTTTGTTTATTAAAATGTCATAACAAATGTCATGGGAATTAATTGAAACAGACGAACGGAAATGAAGTTGTTTGTAGGGTAAGATTATAGATGGAATGAATGAAATTCTAAGAAATGAGATCAAGTTATCTGTTTGTGAGGTGTCAATTCTGAGAATATTATTGTGAAATTTTTGGGAGTTTTGTTTTTAAATTAAAAGATTTCTGGCTTTGGAAGCTGCTTGAAATATTTTTAGTAATTTTAAATTAATTGTTTATGGTTTTGTAAGAAAAACCTCTTAATTCTTCATATTTCACGTTAACAACCACTTTATTATCTACAACAACATTTCGATTCTGAAAAATATCTTGAAATTTTTTCAATTTTCTTCTTTTGTTTTTCCTTATAATTATTTTCACATTAACTTTTTTTTCCATTTTGTTCATTCAGTTATAAAAATTTATGGTTTCGAGAGGATCAAGAGGGAAAATTTTCTACCTTTTTGTATTAATTTCTTCTTATTTTGTGAGAAGCTTTGTTGCGTAAGTTTTCGTTTCGTTTCTGGATGTTAAAATGATGTATTTTGAATAGACAAAGTCTAATGGCCCTTAAGCGATGGCCCTTAATTTTTTTTATCTTAATTAAAATAGTCTCATTTATTCGACTAGATTTCGATTCGATTATCCGACTAGATTTTGATTCGATTATCCGACTAAATTTCAACTTGTTTATCTGACTAAGTTTCAACTTGATTGTCCGATTAAGTTTCAATTCGATTATCCGACTAGTTTTCAATTCGATTATCCGACTACGTTTCAATTCTATTATCCTACTAGGTTCCAATTCGATTATCCGACTAGGTTTCAACTCGATTATCCGACAAGGTTTCAATTCGATTATCCAACTAGTTTTCAATTCAATTATCCGACTAGGTTTTGTATAACTTTTGCAACTGTGTACATCTCTCATTAAATTTAAAAATTAATTCATCATTAGCTTCGTTTTAAGTGTGAAAATTAACATTATAAATTCAAATTTTCCATCTCAATCTTCCTCATCTGCTCCCCCTCCACGCTCCAATCCTATCCATGCCTTCATCTCTCAGCTATTTACTCTCCCATACACATTTAGCTCAAGTTTTATACTTTAATGCTTTTTACACCACTATGAATTAATTAATTATTGAATTAGTTTTACGAGCGGAGCTTTTCGTCTTCCAAGATACAAGAAAGATTTTATGAAAATGAGAAGCAAAAACAATTTTTGAGTAAAATAAATTAACATTAATTATTTAATTGTGTTGCTGAAAGTTTCTTTTTTAGTTGAAATTTTCGCTTTCAACAATTTTTTTTTGCACAAATAAAATTAAAATTGCGCGGTTTTGAAATTAAGGCAAGATGCGAAAGCGGGTTAGATTGCTTGTTATATAAATGAGCTTATAGCTTCGATGTTATTAAATTTAATGAGCATTTGGAATTGATTTTGAGAATATTCGGTGGAGAAAATGAGAATTTAATGGAAAGTTATGAGGATTTTAATGTTTTTAGTAGATTAGGGATTTTCTGAAGTACTAGATTGGATGAAGTACCAGATTTTAAAAAGTACTTGATTAGAAGCAGTACTAGATTAAATAAGGTACTAAATAAAGGATGATACTAAATTAGTTAAAGTACTAGATTGACTGAAGTACTAGATTAACCAACGTACTAGATTAGTTGAAGTACTAGAATAACTGAAGTACTAGATTGGTTGAAGAACTAGATTAGCTGAAATACCAGAATGATCAAAATATCGGATCAACTGGAGCATTAGATTTGGTTAGAATAAAATCAACACTGAACAACAAAAATTGTAAATGGAAGAACTTAAAACGCTGTACAACAAAGCATAACAATAACAAAAAAAATAATCCACACGTTTTCGTTATTTTGCCGAAGGTTGTGAACTTTTAAAAGTCAATTATTTAATTGGGAAAGATTTTCTTGAATTGGCATTGAATATGTTCATGTAATTTTAAAAGATGAGAATTTTAATTGGTTTATTTAGAAAATCAGCAAAAAAAAATCTTCAAACTTCAATTTCCAAACATTTATTTTTATCCCAAAAAATCCCACAAACAATAAATTTCTTTATTTTTCCCATAAATATTTCAAATATTTTTCCCTTGAGCTGTACTTAATGTTTGTGATTACTTTTTTCCTACTTTTTCAACTTTTTCCTTTCATTTTTATTCTCATTTCGTAAATATTTTATCAGATTTTCATTTTTAAGGAAAAGTTTCAACTTGTTATGATATTTATTGATTTAATGACTTAAAAGCTTCCCATAATGTTTTACTTTCTAATTTGAAAAGTTTTATTTTCGATTTTTATTCTCGGAAGGGAAGAATTTATTTTTGGTGTAGAAGCCTGTGAGCATTGAATATGTGAGAATTGAAGACATATTTGTGATTTTTCCTTTTGATTTGGCATTTCAGCTAATCTAGTACTTCAGCTAATCTAGTATTTCAGATAATCTAGTACTTTAGATAATCTAGAACCTAAACTAATCTAGTACCTAAGCTAATCTAGTACCTAAGCTAATCTAAAACTTCATCCAATCTAGTACTTCAAAACAGTTCATAACCCCAAAATGTCACTCTTTCCCAACATTGATCCCCAAAATCCCGTTAACAAGGCGCAACGAGTGGAAGAAAATTACAAAAGAAAATTGAAAAAATAAAAAAGCGGGCAAGCAACAAGAGAAAGAGGAAAAAAATCCAATAAAACTTGAAGTCCGCTTGTTCCACTGATTCAATTAAGAAAGTTTTGATCCCTCAATTCTGTAGAATTTTTTCCCTCTTGTCTCATCCATTTCACATCATCCTTCGTCCATCCCATTTTACCATTTTTCATATTTCCTTTTGTACACATAAGCTCAATTTAATATCATCCGGACACACAATCCATTCAGTTGTGCTTTCTTCCTCATTTTGGGATTAGAAAAAAAAAACTCTTTCATCCTCGGCGTCTGTCTTTATTTCTCATCAAATCTTCCATAAAATTAAATTAAATTAATTAAATCAGGGTGCAGTGAATGGAGAGTGGAATGGAAGACTGTTTGATGTTGATTCCCTTAGGGAAGCTTTTATGTGGTTTTTGATGGGGGTGGAGAATGGAGTGGGGATCGATTGAGTACAGTGAAAGCCAACCAAGCTTGTTAGGATCAATTCTAGTACTTTAATAAAATCTAGTATCTTAATAAAATCTAGAATCTTCAAAATCTGGTATTATACATAAATTCTAGTACTTCAAATAAAATCTAGTCCCCCAAATAAATTCTAGTACTTCAAATCAAATCTAGTACTCCAATTAAAATCTTGACCCTCAAATAATATCTGGTTCTATAGATAAATTCTAGTACTTCAAATAAAGTTTAAGACCTCAAATAAATTTTAGGACTGCAAATAAAATCTAGTACTCCAATAAATCTAGAACCTCAAATAAAATCTAGTACCTCAAATAAATTCTAGTACTTAAAAAAATCTAGTACTCCAATTTAAATCTGGACCTTCAAATTATATCTGTTCCTTTAGATAAATTCTAGTACTTCAAATAAAATTTAAGACCTCAAATAAATTCTTGTACTGCAAATAAAATCTAAGACCTCAAATAAATTCTAGGACTGCAAATAAAATCTAGTACTTCAATAAAAATCTAGAGCCTCGAATGAAATCTATGACTTTTAAAATCTGGTCTTTTTTTATAAATTCTAGTACTTAAAATTAATTCTAGTACTGCAAATAAAATCTAGTACCTCAAATAAAATCTAGTACCTCAAAAAAAAATCTGACAAAATCCTCACAATAATGTTCAATTTCAAAACAATTTTTCATTAAAGCAGAACAAAATAATTCATGATGGGAAGCAGTTTGCGGATCATCCAGTTGTTGTAACTGACACAGATGTTATCCCATCGTTCCAAGAAGCCCTCTCAGCAGTTAATGAATGAAAATTGTATCTGTTTTCTTTTGTTGAACCTGCTCGAGTGTAAATGAGTGAACCATGTAGCTTGATGATGAGGGTCACATCCTTTATATCGCATTGAAATTTTAATTGTGGTAATTTTTGCAGATTTTTGTGACAAGAGAAGGTCATCCTCAATTGCTGAGTGTATGAATCTTGTAAAAGCTTGCACACCCACGCCTAATTTCAACCTCATACCTCAAAATCTCCCAAAAATATTGCTCGTCACGTAATAAATGAAATTATATTCATCAAAATTGTCTAACATACAAAATTAAGCAACAAAATTGATTATTTCTGAGAATAAATTACAACGTTACACAGCATTATGGATTACATGAGATGAAGATTATACAATTTACTCAGATTTAATTCAATCATAAATGCCACATTTCTCTCGTATTTATGCAGTGAAGAGGAAAAAAGAAGAGATGAAAAACTTTCTCATTGAAACTAGTTTTTTTCTACTTTGTTGTGCTTGTGGTGTCAATGTTCAGGGGCAGTAATTTGAAGGATTTTAGCAAGTTTTTGTAGCCAATGATAAGTTTAGTATTTCACATTGTCTGATAGGAATACTAAGTAGCTCTTGATGACATACGTTAATATCTTTAGATTTTACTTAAAAGCATTATGCCAGGTTCGACAATTAGGTGGGAGACATCCAAATACCGCCAATTTCCATACAAATACCAACAAATACCGCCTATTTTTTTGAAATACCCCCAAATACCGCCTAGTTTCCGAGCCTGGGCATTATGTCATCTGCAGAAAATATTTCAGGTAAAAATTGATAAGAGACAAAAAATAGTCTTATCGGAAATTTACAATGAAACCGTAACTCATTGGCATAGGGCAGTGCTTCTCAAACTATTGACACATCTACAATTTTTTGCAGAACAGTAAAGCTCCACTGATCATAGTTTGAGGATCACTGGCACAGGGCATTGGTTTCTATCAACATGCTTAAAAGTGAGGTTTTGCATTCCTCAAAAAACTATTTGCATTGCTTCTGTTAGCTTTGAACTTCGAGTTATTGCTTACACAAACCTTGCTATGTCTCTGGATGCCGCGGCACACAGTTTGCACAACACTGGTTTAAAGGAAGATCAACAAAAACTCTTTTAGTAATCAAAAAGAAAAGATTCTTTTGGTTTTTGACAGTAAACTAAGGCGTGGACACTCGGGATGGTTCTCAATAAATCCCAGAATATCCTATGGGACCGTTCACTTATGACGTCCAGGGAAAAGAAATTCCTGGAATTCCGTTGTTCTTTTTTGAAAAATGACCGTTAATATCGGACGTCATAAGCGAACGATTCCTATCATTATACTTTAAATTTCACTTGAAATCCCACAATTATTTATAAAATATAGTAAAGATTTTAAGTAAGATTCCCAATTGGGATTCCCCACCACCACCAAAAACAACCTAGCTTAGCCCCTGGCAACACTCTAATTAAACAAGGTGGAATAATAAGGTGGAATCAGAGTTTGAAGTCGACTCGAGTCGACCCAATTTTTCTCGAGTCTACTTTATTTTCTCGGACTTGACTTGAGTCGACTCGAAGTCGACTTCTTCATACAAAAAAAAATTACCGAGTTGACTCTAAGTCGGCTCAAGTTTAGTCAACTCGAGTCGACTCGAACCCTATCGAATTCGAGCTCTGGGTGGAATAAAAGTTATCTTGAAGAACAAAATTGATAAAGAGTAAAGTGATTGATAAGATAAATTAATTGAAAGAAAAACAAAGAATTGAACTTAAGAAAGCTAAAGTGTAGGAAGTCTTTGTCAATTATAAAATAAAAATTAAGTAAAGCATGAAAAAAATCCAGTGTAATTATTCTTATGGCCGCTGTCATAACTACTTAAATTTATACAAGTGTGAGATAAAAGACTCTGTACTTGATGAGGATGAAGATTGGTCATTTGATGGAAAACATTTACAATTTAAAACTAATCTAGATGTTGGTTTGTTAGTTCTTAGTGGAAAGTCATTAACAAAAGTTCCACAAGGTCTTTTAAAATATTTTCCAAACATTATAGCTTTGGAAATTCGAGAATCGAGTGTGAAAAGCTTAACCAAAAGTGATATTGCTGAATATAAGAAACTTCAAATGTTCATATTTGAGCTTAACCCAATTGAGTTTCTTCCTGGAAACTTGTTTGAAGATTTTGATCATTTATTTTATATTTCATTTTCATCTTGCAATTTGTTAACGATTGAGCCATTTATTCTGGATTTTTTTCATATATTCTTCACTGGATATCATTTTGTGAAATTTTTGAATAATCCAAACTATCATATACAGCAAACCGGGAGGACTTTTTCTGGACTCAATGGGATCAAAACAGAACTATTCAGGAAATACTACACATTATATCCTCATGTTCAGGCATCACCGCAGCAAATGATTCAAAATACTCTCACAAATGATTTCAAAAATTTCTTGAATAATGAAAATTTTAAAGATTTAAAAATAAAAATTGACAATCGAGAATTTCGCGTTCACAAATTTCTGCTTGCTGCTAGAAGTTCAGTTCTTGCTGAAATGATTCTTAACAATCCAGATGTTGAAAATTTAAATCTTGTTGATATTTCGGTGGAAACATTTGAGCAAGTTTTACATTTCATTTATAATGATGAGCTTCGAGATAAAGAGGAAATTAATTCATTCAGGAACCTGTTTGCAGCTGCTGGTCGATTAAATATAGAAGTACTTAAAAATATTGCAGCTGCACATCTTCTTGAGGAAATTGATTCAGATAAAGCAATGAGCATATTGAGTTTAAGCAATAAATACAATCATGATTTGTTGAAGGATGAAGCTTTTAAATTTATTGAGAAAACGAACTCTTTCATGACATTTAAGTCTGAATGGGCAAATCAACCGGATATGTTGAGTAAACTTATTAAAATTCATAGAGAAAAAGAGGAAGTAATTAAGAAGTTCGAAGAGGAATATCAAAAATTGACCAGCAGCACTGAAAATATCAAAAATTGAAAATTAATTTTTAGCAAAAAAATATGTTTAATATTAAAGACAGGGTCTAGATCATTAATCTTATCTTTTGTTATTCTTAATTTTTGTATTTAACTTGTTTTTAAATAATCAAAATAAAATTATTTTTTTAATACTTTTAAAAAATGCGCTTCATGACACCAACCCAAAATTACTCTCCTACTCGTCCATCTTCAATCTAATCTACACCATCTACACATCCATCCATCTGAGTGCATCCACAACATTAATCAATTTTTCTGATGAAATCTTATCATAGCTCCTTAATGTAATGTTTACTTTCATTTATTGAATTTTTCTCTTATTCAGCCTTGTTTGCTTTCTCGATTTTCATCATACTGTATCACTCACTTGAGACTTTAAGTGAAGTGCCCTTTCGACAAACAACAACAAAAGAGAGAAATATTTCGGTTAAAGTAGAGAGGAAGGAAAAAAAAAGCCCAAAAGTGCTTTTTCCATCAAGCTTTACGTTCAATCAATATTTGTATGAGGATGAACAAATTGAATTACGTGAAAGTATCACACAACTCTACTTCTATCTTATTTGCTTGTCTTTTCTCGCATCCGGAATTTATTTTATCTCATCTTTCATAAATTTTTCCTTCTCCATTCGTGCTTTTTGGGGCTTCTTCTTTGCAGTTTGTTCTATTTTTTTTTTTTTGCAGCTTTTATTTACTTTATCTTTTAGGTGGTTTTATGGTTGATGGATTTGGCATGTGTGGGAAAAATGTGAATAAAGTTAGAAGACATCACAACTATCATAAGGGAGATGCAACTGTCAACAGTGAGACACACAACTATTAATTAGAGGTCAAAAACCATCAAAAAAGAGAAGCTATCATAAAGAGTACACAACTGTCAAAAAAGGGTGCAAAACTGTCAAAAAATGGTACACAACTATCTAAAAGGGTACACAACTGTCAAAAAGGGTACACAACTATCAAAAAGAGTACACAACTATCAAAAAAAGGTACACAACTATCGATAGGAGACATAACTGTCAAAAAGGGTACGGAGTTGTCAAAAAGGGTACGGAGTTGTCAAAAAGGGTACACAACTGTCAAAAAAGGGTACACAACTATCAAAAAGGTACAAAACAGTCAAAAGGGTACACAACTATCGAAAAAACGGACACAACTGTAGAAAAAGGTAAACAACTGTCAAAAAAGGGTACACAATTACGGTAAAAAAGGGTGCAAAACTATCAAAAAAGGGTACACAACTGTCAAAAAAGGGTCCACAACTATCGAAAAGGTACACAACTGTCAAAAAAGGGTACTCAACTATCTAAAAGGGTACACGACTATCAAACTGGGGACAAAGCTATCAAAAGGGGGACACAACTGTCAAAAAGGGTTGTACAACTATTAAAAAGGTGTAAACACCTATCTAAAGGAGTATACAACTATTCACAGGGGTACACAGATATGAAATAGAATACACAGCTTCTATTTATTGTACACAGCTTCTAATGAGGGGTACACAGCTATGATATATGGTACACAACTATCATGAAGGGATACACAACCATCAAAAATGAATACACAACTTTCAAAGATGGAGATGCAATTATCTGAAGGGGTACACAACTTCTGAAATTCATTCATATCCCATACATCATACTCTTAGTCTCTCGAATCCTTTAAACTCCATCAAGAGACACATCAGACAAAAAAAGTATTTAAACTTCTACAAAAAGTTCTCTCAAGTGTTGTTGAAAAACAAGATTTTTCCTTCTCGTTCAGCATCCTTCTGATTTTTCTAACTTTAATTCAATTGATATTTACCTGCACTAAAGACGAGTAAGGCAAAAAAATAAAAGATTTTAAAAATTCAGATCACTTCTTGCAGGTTCATTTGCCGCCGTTCTATCTTGCCGAGCTTTTATCAACAAAAATTGAATGAAAAATAAAAAAAAAGTCACGAAAATGAGAAAAATTAAATGAAGTCAGCAAGAAAATTTTCTTTTAAAGGTCACGCTCATCTCGAGTAGGAAGAACAAGAAGCTTTAGAGCTCTCTAAGCGATACTTTGATTTGTAATTTAATAAAACTGATGAATTTTTAAACGAAAAAATCTGATTTTGTGAGAAACTTTCTTTTTGCTTAGATTTGGAAATTTTAAATTGCAATTGGATGAGATTTGATTTTGTGAGATTTGAGATTACGTCAATGTGTAGCTTGAGAGTTCAAGATTGGATCTTATGGAGTTTTGATTTTCTGGATATTATTATTACTGCTTCATAATTGTGTACCCCTGATAGTCATTTACTCCTATTTGACAGTTGAGTACTCTCTTTGAATGTTGAGTAGCCCTTTTTTTAAAGTTGAGTACCCCTCTTTGATAGTTGCATACCCCTGAAAGTCATGAACCCCTTTTTGACAGTTGAGTACCCTTTTTGATAGTTGAGTACTCCTGTCTGATAGTTGAGTACCCCTCTTTCATAGTTGAGCACCCCTCTTTTATAGTTGAGTACACCTCTTTTATAGTTGAGCACCCCTCTTTTATAGTTGAGTACCCCTATTTTATAGTTGAGTACTCTCTTTTATAGTTAAGTACAACTCTTTTATAGGTGCGTACCCCTGATAGTAATATACCCCATTTTGACAGTTGAGCACCCTTTTGATAGTTAAGTACCCCTCTTTGATAGTTGAGCACCAACTCTTTGATAGTTGCGTACCCCTCATAGTCATGTACCCCCCTTTGACAGTTGATCCCCCTCTCTGAAGGTTGTGTATCCTTTTTGATAGTTGAGTACCCCTCTTTGATATTTGCCAGTTACGTACCCCTGATAGTCATGTACCCCCTTTTGACAGTTGAGTACCCTTTTTTATAGTTGTGTACCCTTTTTGATAGTTGAGTACCCCTCTTTGATATTTGCGTACACCTGATAGTTATGTACCCCTTTTTTGAAATTTTTGCTCCGAATTAATTCAAAATTTACCTAATACCACCCCTAAAACTTGTCTCAATTCCAAAACCACACAGCAAAACTCCTTTCAAATTCTTTACAACAATGCAAAGCTAATCTTGTATTCATAAAACCCAACATTCAATTTCCATTCCATTATCAAATGTATCATCATCATTGCATCCGGTTCAATAAATTTAATCTAAAATGTGCTAATTGAATTTGACGCGACAGAATACGTAAAAAGTGGGAGGATTTTTAATGTCACATATGCAAATGATTTTTAGTCTTCGTCATTCAGCATGCAAAATTGCATTTTCAAAATCACCGCAAATGCACGTTGACAATTGAATTTTCGTGTGAAATGAGATACGATTGGTGACAGATGAGAACATTTTTGCCTGCTTTTTGTGACGAAAATAGAAAATTTTGTGAAAATTGAGGACATAGCTTTTATACTTAATTAAACAGAAATTAAATCAACACCGATTTCTCATTTTGGGTTCCTGTCTATTCATGTGATGTGGACCGTTAGTTGAGTTTCTACATGTTATGGAGAATACGAGTTCATTTTGTGCATTTAAACTTTGATTTATGAAGTTTTGGGCCAAATCGGAAACTTTATGATTGGATTTGAAACTAAACTTTAGTGTGAAGGCACCTGAATCTAAAAACTCTAGTATAAAGGCACCTGAATCTAAAAACTCTAGTGTAGAGACACCTGAAACTAAAACTCTACTGTAGAGGCAGTTCAACTTCAAGAACTCTAGTGTAAAGGCACCTGAATTCAAAAAGCTAGTGCGAAGGCACTTTAACACTGAAACTCAAGTGTGAAGGCACCTGATTTCAAAAATTATTTTTGAAATTCAAAATAAATCATAAAACTCAAAATAATGTTTTAAATTGACAAAAGTTTCAAATGAGGCTAAAAAAGTGAGGTCAAGTGACAACATAACCTCAAAAATATGAAACTCAACTGCAAAATAAACTGAAAACATGCAAAGTTTGAAAACAAACTTCTCGGAACTGAATTTTCCCACTCGAAGACAAAAAAAAGAGGATAAACAAAATTTTTTTCAGTTCCGTCGCTTGTCATGAAAAATTATTCACATGGGAGCACTTGAATGTCCAATTTTTGTTCTTCTTTTTTTTTCATCTTTCTAGTATTTTTTTTTCTTCCTCTTTTATATGCTTACCGACTAGATATGAGTGTGGATTCTACTCATTCAAAATGTCACTCAATTTATTCCCTTGTCATTTTCTCTTGTGCTCTTTTTTATTGCTCTTTAATTTTGTCTTTAATGCAGTGGCATTTTTATGAGACATTTATTATTTATTTTTATAAAATTTTGGATTGTCATTTATGATAATGGTTTTTTTTGAAGCTCATGTGCCTGCACACTAGGTTTTAGTGCTTCAGGTTCCTTCCTAATACAGGTAAAAACCTAGTATTATGGTTCAGGTGCCTTTACACTAGATTTTAGTTGTTCTGGTGCCTTAACACTGAGTTTTTGTGTTTCAGGTGAATTCACACTAGGTTTTGGTGGTTCAGGTGCATTCACAATAGGTATTTAAAGTTCAGCTGCATTTTCACTACATTATAGTGGTTCTGGTGCCCTTACACTGAGTTTTTGTGGTTCAAGTGTCTTCACACTAGATTTTAGTGATTCAGGTGCATTCACAATATGTCTTTGAAGTTCAGGTGCATTCCAAATAGCTTTTTAAGGTACAGATGCCCTCACACTAGAGTTTTTTAATTTCTGGTTTCTTCACACTCGATTCTTGCGATTCAGGTGCATTCACACTAGTTTTCTCTTAATCAGGTGCATTCACACTAGTTTTCTCTTGGTCAGGTGCCTTCACACTAGGTTTTTAGGTTCTGGTGCATTCACACTAGATTTCTTGAGATTCAGCTGCCTTCAAAGTAGGGTTTAAAAGTTCAGGTGTATTCACATTAGAGTTTTTGACTCGATTTGAACAAATATTCTGTAAAAATCTTTTCAATTTAATTAAGCTAAATATCAAAGAGCTCCCTTTTGTTCTCAAAATATACAAAATGAATATCAAATTGAATTCA